CCTGGAGTCGACTCAGCCTCTAACAGAAATGAGTACCAGGAATCTTCCTGGTGGTAAAGGGCGGCCCGCACGTAAGGCTGACAAGCTCACGGCCATTTGTGAGCCGACTGTCTAGATAATGTGGGAGCCTCGACGTCTCACAATCCTGTGGGCCTCCACGGCTTGTTACGCTGGTAGCTTATCGTTTCTTAACACTCCGTATTGTATTGGCACACCGCCCTAACCCATCTGTTGCGCTCACTCGGACACGTCAGGCAGCTGCCTACCCACCCAAACAACTACTGATCTGCGAGACATACAGACTCATCCACTGCTGTTTTACCCACTGCCTTACTTTTAAACAGTTTATTAGACATCATTATCTGATCCATTCTAATCACATGCACCAACAACTCCGACTGTCTTCTGTCAATATCCATGCACTCAGGGACCCGCGGGATTTACATGACGTCAAGCAAGCAGATCTCAATCCAGTCAGGAACTTCCCAACATTTTATGGAACCCAGTGGTTCATCACCGTGTTCACGAGAGCCCTCCACTTGTCCCTATCCTGAGCCAGATGAATCCAGTCCATGCCACCCCATCCTATCTGTCTAAGATCTAATTTAGTATTGTCCACCCATCTACGTCTTGTTCTTCCTACGGTAAGGAAATATTAAAAAGAAAGACGAGAAGGAAGCACACAAGAAAGAAACAACCACAAAACGAAAGACACGAAAGTGGAAACACGGACTTGGTGTTAACAGTGTAAAATATTTTGGCTTGTGATTTGGAGCATAAACACATACGGATATGTGGTGTGTACTGTGCGATGTTTTGTGTAGCAGATATACAGAGTGTCCCAGGAGGAAAGGGAGGTATCAGTACCGGTCATTCTAAGCAAAATAGTGTATATGTACATGTGTCCCATTCCGAACGGTTTCCGAGATAGAGCTATTTTACTGCACAGTTCCAAAACTGTTGATAAGAAAGAGATATCACGTACTATTTCTGATGCCGGTATTTATTGTTCAAGTGACAAAGTTGGTACAGTTTACCTACATCAATGCACTTTGCAACTGTGTGAGGACATGGTGTGTTGCCCGTCTGTACAGTGTACAGTGTACCGTACAGTGAAATAGCTCTATCTCGGTGCAACTCGTGTGAGGACATGGCGTGTTGCTCATCTGTACAGTGTACAGTGTACTGTACAGTGAAATAGCTCTATCTCGGTGCAACTCGTGTGAGGACATGGCGTGTTGCCCGTCTGTACAATGTACAGTGTACTGTGCAGTGAAATGGCTCTATCCCGGAAACCGTTCGGAATAGGACACATGTACACATACAATTTTAGCTTAGAATGGCCTGTGCTATGATCTCCCAGAATACGGACCTTTCCTCCTGGGACACTGTATAAAACGAAATTAGAATTTCCTCAGATTTCACAGCACAGCTGAAGAGAGATGATGCTCTTCCCCGTCGCTGGAGGAACCCATCCGCAGGTGGGCAAACCTGGGTCATCAGAGTACAGAACACTTGCTTTCTATTGCAGGTTGGCAGCGTCAAGATAGACGCTCCCGTGTTCCGACTCAATAGTTCGGCGACTGTTGTCATTTTGGTGACCTTCAGCGCTGCAGTGTTTGGGCGGCAATATGTGGGGAACCCTATAGACTGCATCCGCACCAGGTAGGTGGGCCCTTCTTGCTGGTTTACTGTGGGAAGTTCCAGGTGCCGTGTTAACGTCAGTCCTGACTAAATATTCCCTTTTCCTTTTAAAACTCAAAATATCGGTCTCGTGGGTGTAACTTGTGCTTCATATTCGAGTGATCCGGGGTTCAAATTTCGGCCCGGAAACCGGCTATGCAGACTATGATTTTCCTGAGTTAGTCCGAGCAAATTCCGCGACAGTCCCTCAGGCTGGGGTCATGACCGATTTCTTCCACATTCTTAATAAATTCGATACAAAATCCAACCATTTAACGCCGTACAGTCTGGGATACTGACAGCGTCGATATTAGACAAATAAATAAATAAATAAACAGACGGATTAGACTTTCAAATATGCCACTACCGCCTGCTTCCAGTTCTGTATCTATACACCGTTATGACGTCTCCTGTTCTCTTAGTTAGTTAGTTATTGGAGAGGGTGGGTTTCCCCATGCACCGCGACCAGTTTGATCTATTGTGCTTCCCTCTATGATATTCTACCAGTCTCTATACCATACCGATACTGGTGCTTACCATCAGTCCCGACCAAGCCAGCGAGTTCGGCCTCTACTGGCTTGGCGGTATCTATAATGCTTCCCCCATCTATCAGAGGCGTTAGAGACTACTGTTGGGCGGGAAATGTCCTTGAATTTGGCTCAGTGACTTTCTTAGGAGAAATGAAGTTCTTTTACGTGCCGTAAAGCTACGACACGGGATCCACGGCTTAAAGTCCCTCCCGGAGGACTTGTTCCCTGAATTTTTCCTCCCTTAAAAATTCCACGACCTCCGCCGGGTTTGAACCCGCGTACTACGAGTCATGAGGTGGGAACGTTACCTCTAGACTACGGAGGCCGCTCTCCTGTTCTCTTCCTTGATGTACTCTCTAATGATGAAGCATTAGCAATTTGAGACTATCCGATGTGTCGACAACATTTGTAAGTATTTCTTTCCGTTACATTATTTTGGTTTTCGGGAAGATTTGGGTTGGAATCCCGACCCCGAGACCGGATGTCCTGTGATTTTCTTCAGAGACCTAGGCAAATGCTAGGACAGTACCTTCATCCTCTAAAGCTGATGTGTCTTGTCCCTGACAGAGATGTGCCTGAGGACGTGCTGAATGCGTTTTGTTGGATTCACTCCACCTACACGATTCCCAGGGCCCTCTTCAAGAAGGTTGGCGTGGACGTGCCCTTCCCCGGGGTCGACCACACCAGAAACTACTTGCCCGAGGACAGGAAGTTCGCCAAGTACTACCAGTGGGTCGGCTTCACCCTCTTCGTCCAGGTGAATTACGAAGGACCTCTTGATGAATTCATGATCCTTATTTCGGAAGTACACGGCTCGAGTCTCGGTCGGGGAAGAGACTTCCATCGCTAACGTTTTCATTCACTGTGTGGTTTGTTGAGGCACTATGCTACAAGTCGGAAGGTCTCGGGATCGATTCCCGATGAGGTCATTATGATCTTTCAATTTACCTAATCCTTCCAGCCGCACTATGGTCCTGGGGTCGACTCAGCCTCTAACAGAAATGAGTACCAGGAATCTTCCGGGGGGGGGGGGCTAAAGGGCAGCCGGAGGGTAAGGCTGACAACTTCACCGCCATCTGTGAGCCTACTGTCTAGAAAATGAGGGAACCTCGACGTCTCACAACACTATGGGCCTCCACAGACTGTCACAGGGACAGCTTCCTCAGATCTATCACACCTAGAAAAAAGACAGATCTGTCCCTGTGCTCAGTTAATTAACGACCATGCTATGAAGACGTATTTTTTCCTTGGCACTACAGCCCCAGTGGGCCTAGGCCTACCTCCATGAACTTCTCCGGTCACATGAAGACGTATAGGTAGTGGAAATTAATCTCCACTTTCCTGAGCTCAGCCCTAGATGGAAGTGAATGGTCAGTTTTATGCTTCCAATGTTTTACCCCCGAGGAATGAGTCCGCGGTACTCATTGGACAAGCAGCTGGTTGGGCCCCAGAGCCGGTCTGGGCCCCTGCCGGGAATGGAACCCCAGGTTCTCAGTCGCCCAGCCCGTAGCCGCCACTATACCGACCGATCAATGGCAGCTGTTACACCTACAAGACGTAGCTGAAACTGGTCACGCTTACCTCGTCTCAAGGATTTTCAATTCGTCGTCCCCAGATGAAGCCTGAGTTTTTCATGACGGTGAGAGTTGCGATATTGGCCTTCATGAGTATGGAACTGTGTCATTTCGTAGGTGGTTCATGACGTTTCGGAGAGTTTTTCTGCCTCAATCTTCAGAGAAGACGTGGAGATAGAGGCACTTGCTATCAGAGACTGGAGAAACTAAATTACATCGCCCTTACTTATGTGGCACTGTGCAATCTAAACAATCTATGAAGCACTGTCCTGCGCGCCAAAGGTTAAGGAACTGCAGGTGTGTTACATATCAACTCTCTTCGCCGAGTATTTTTAGCTCATTACAATTCATAAATATCAGGTCTCTTCCTCAATGAAAAAGACAGAGATAAATAAAGTTTATCCGAGTTCCGAGGTAGAGTGCAGTGAGCTGCTGGCTAAGTGGCCGAACTTGAAGCAAAATGCTGACTGAGAGACTAGCTCTTTCTAACGGGCCCAACTGAGTAGGTTTATCCTTCCCTACCCACCTGAAGACGGAGACAGATCCAGTCTCCGAAACGCCGTGGTCTTTTGTCTTTTACATACCAGACGATGGGTGAAGTCCAAAATAAGCCAAAAGAAGTATTGTAAGAAGTGTTTTCTATGTGGTCCGCGCCATGCTGGACCGTTAATGCCCCTAGAAAATACTGACGCAGAAATTTACAGTACGCGTTTCCAGCACCAAATTCCACCGAAACATTTTGAATGCTTTAGCAGCTGAAACCTGTGAGCGGATAGGCACACATGACCTCACATCATGCTTTCCGCTTATTCATTTTACGAACGCATAAAAATGGAGCCTCCATCTGTTGGCGTAGAAGGCGGTAATATAAACTGATCAGACTTAGAGAACGTTGAATTAACTCCTTGTAACATGCAAAAGGAAGCTGAGGTAAGTTAAAAATAAAAGAGTCCACTGGACCCAACGGAGAGACGACGCGACGGGTTTCATCCAGTGGAGAATGTGGAGCGGCAGGGAAACCGGACTTTGCCGAGACGCGCCGAAGACATTTTTAGACACTTTGGACTTCGAGAAGGGAACGCTAGATGTGTGAAGGGGGGTGGGGTGGGGCGGGGGAGGAGGCTTGTATACAGAGGCTCTAACATATGGAGGAAGGATGTATGCACCTGAAGTATCGGGCAATTGGTGCCCGTCAGTTGGGCAGACACTCGGAGCCGCAGTGGACGGCGTCTCTCGCGCTGGACATCGGGTTCCGAACATCATGGATTTGTGTTCCGGTCATGTTATTGTTTGTGGACAACAACGGTGTTGTGGTTCTTGCTGATGTGGTGATGCTTCATCAGATCATCAGGGAATATAAGACGAAATGCAAAGCGTCTTGATCTGGAGCAAGAAAACATAGGCCTCGTTACACGCATGTAACTTAATTTATGTTGTGGATCCGAGTGCTGTCGAGTGTGCGCTATCTTGTGGATATCCTTCAAGATAATGTGGATATTTAATAATGCACAGAGAGTGTTCAGTGAAAATATCTCCTCTACACTGGAGGCAGCGGAGGTTACGAAGACAAGTAAGGGTGAGCTCAAGTCTGGCCAGATGATGGCGCCCATTACGTGATGAAGATACATTTTCGCGAAGGCTGTGGTTTTCGTTGCAAGTGGACGCGATGTTAAATTCACATTAAATTTCAAGTTCCAAGGCCTGAAATTAAAGTGATTTATGAATTGTTTGTGAGTTAAATTCGTTTCTTAACGCATTTCAATGCCTCGACATATGTTAAGAAACGACTGCAAGAGGAATGTGTGTCAGAAGGTTATCGCATCGGTTCTGAGTGACATTTTAACTCAAAATATAATTTCCTCCCTTAAAACTTGTGCTAATATCCGTAAAGGATCTCGCGCCGTTTATTGTTTTCGCGTAAAGTTGGCACTTGTATAATTTAACGCATTAGCAGGAAACTGGGATCAGTGTTTTCGATGCAGTCCGACACAATAACGCAAAGAGTAACCCTGCCAAATGTTTTGCGCTAAACGATTTTTAACATACAGGTTGTACGTAGTGAGATAAGAATATAAATTGGGTTATGAGGAAATGTGTTAAGTGTCCTCGTTACTAGACAGTCATTAGACGCACTTGTGACGCTTAGTCTAAGCGTGCGCAAGGAAAATGTTTGTACGTAAGAAGTCAAGATTCAGTTAATTCAGAGACTAGCGTCGTTGCAAGTTTCCTGTCTAACGAACTTCCATTTGCTTTGGGAAAGTTTTGAAGGCTCTTTGTCTCGTAGGCAGGATGGGCGATTGTAACAACATAAACGCGAGGACGAACTGACACGATCATGTCAAGAAGTGCCGGGTAATGTCAACATAAGCATTAATGGGGGTTTTTATTAATTTTCCCCGTACTGATCTGTTTCCTTATAATTATACCGTAATGTAAGGTTACACAGTCCTATAAATGTTTCCTTCAATTAACCAACAACAAAGAGAGGAAGAGACATTGAAAAATTAAAAATGGCTAATATTTTTATAGATTTTTTAAAGCACCATGAAACATCTAAAACTGTTGAAGAGTAATTTGATTCAAACACACAAAAAGAAAGACAATTATCGAACGAGCGATGCTTAAAATATGTTTCTGATGCACACGGAACTGATGTGATGGAGAATGACACAGTTTTGGTGAATGTACCCTCATTCAGCTACACGTGGTAGTAATAACTTGGATGGAAAGTAACCAGTGTAGCATAAATATTCCCGTTGATAAACCGGAAAATAAACCATCTGAGTTAAATATGAATCTCATGTGGAAAGAAGGAAAGTCTGTGGACACACAAATATGTGTACAAAAGCCAATTGCAATGTGTTCTGTGTTTCTTCAGCGCTTCTGTGCGTGAAACTGCTGAGTTTGTGGAAACTTCGGTTTTCTCGTAACATGCGCGCGGAACTCACACAGGTCTCGTGACTTCCGCATCCGACGGAAGGGACGATTTGTTTAGACAGTAACAAATACCTAATGCTCCTCCTCGGTAATTTAGAACTTGATTTTGGAGCAACTGTCACCAAAACACAGTAAAGTTGATGTTTCTTGAAACAGACGCTTAATAAAAAAATTTTAACTTTTGGATTTGGACGTTAGCATGATACAAGTGGTGGTGCCTGCTGTGTACCAGGTAGCAGTGTTCAGAGGCGTCACTAAAAAGCGCGAAAACATTGACGTGTATGAACAAATAGACCAGTGAGGTGAGTGTCAACAGTTGAAAGAATGTTGCTTACCGAAGCTGATGAGTGGGAGCTCCACAGTGGGACAAGAATTTTAATTTATGAATGTGTGTGCCTATGTTTGAGTGATATTTGATCAAAACTCTTCAATTTGAAACATAACCATACCGTAGAGTTGCAAAGGCAAAATAGGGTTACAATTTCTCATTCTGAAATAAACGTGAATAGTGATGTTATCGATAAATAAACCGGCAACGGTTACAGCCAATTACGTAAATATTATTATTTCATGTCATTTAGTGGCATGTGAGTGTAGGCTGTAAAAATTTTATATATTTTTTTTAGAAATATTTGTCAAAAACCGCCGACTGAAGCGCGTGTGCTTGTGGGGGGGGATGTGATTGACCTGTGGAAGGGGTAGAGAACGGACTGCAGCAACATGCTGGACATTTTTCGGGGGCTCAAGAACCTGATCAAAGTCAGCCACATCCACATCGACTCACCAGTGTTCAGACTCCACTACAGCATCACCGTGATGATTCTCATCGCTTTCAGCCTCATCGTCACGACGCGACAGTACGTCGGAAACCCCATAGACTGTGTGCACACCAAGGACATACCCGAGGATGTCCTGAATACCTTCTGTTGGATTCATTCCACCTACACACTCAAGTCGGCGTTCAACAAAACTGTGGGGAAAGACGTTCCTTTCAAAGGAGTTGACAATTCTCGTGGGAAAACAGGCGACCAGAAATACTACAGATATTACCAGTGGGTGTGCTTCTGCCTCTTCTTTCAGGTGAGTGTAGACGCGTCGTGCACAGAGTTAGGGAACTCCTCTCCTACTCTCCTTTGAAAGGAGACAGGCAGCTAGGCGGTTCCATAAGCCTTCTAACGAAAATTACAGGGAGGATACAGGCATACAGACAGACAGCAAAGTGATTTCATAAACCTCCTTTTACTTTGTGCAAAATAAGGAACGCAGGCTAAGAAGAAGTTCTGGGAAGAACTAATCGTCTGCGTTCCTTTGATACGTCACGGACCGCATAGAAAACGAAACAATTGAGCTGGGGGCACAGAAACACACACAGACAGCAAGGTGACTTCATAAGCCTTCTAGAAAAAACTGAGGGGGATACATAGATAGACAGACGGACAGATAGACAGAGAGAAAGGTGACTTCATAAGTCTTCTACGAAAAACTAAGGGGGATACGTAGACAGACAGACAGAGAGACAGACACAATGAAAGGTGATCTCATAAGACTCATAGGCCTGAAAAGTTAAGGGGAGAACACAGACGCATGCACAGAGAACAAGGTGATGTCATAAGCCTCCTTTATTTTGTCAGAATAAGGAAAGTAGGCTGAAGGGGAGGGCGGAAGCTCCAGGGTTCCGTACAGCGACTGCTTTGTTCTGTTATCTGTGTTGTGCTGTTTAGGCGCCTGTGCGCTGTATCGCCTCTCTATTCCTAGCAGACACATGAAGTCTATTTAGGACGCAGGGGCCGGCGTGGCTCTCAGCGCCGCTCCTGTCTCCCATCCACCGGATACTAGGAACTGCTTCTGAGCAAAGCGCGTAATCGAGAGGTCTAGGCTTATTTTCATGTTCCGTCTCCTCCCCCGTGACGCGGTACTTGAAGACAACAATAACTTTACATTTTATCGCGTATATTCTTCGACTAAAGAATTCTGTTCCTTTGTTTGTTTAACGATGATTATTCAGATGTGTCGCTTCGTTAATCGACGAAAGCGCATTTGGAGTGATGTTCAAGCGAGCGGTTTTGGAAGAATATATCAACCCTGCAGATTTGACGCTGCTTGGGATAGGAACCGAACCTGGAACCTCCCAATTATTATTCGATCGAGACGTTAGGTAGTGATATTCATGAACTGTTTTACAGTCACTGCTCTCTGTTATCTTGGAAATTGTTATTCTTCAAGACATACCGGCCGTCATGACGCCGTGGCACTGTGCCTACTTTTCTGGATTATTACATTTGATATCATTGTCGTTATTGCCGCCTTTTGTGGCCTCGACTTTCGTGTTAAATATTCTTGAAATTTAGCCTATAAATTTCACAACTCACACGGGACCTGTGGGGGAGGGTGGGGGGGGGCAAACAGGCCTACCAATTGAATAAAATTTACAGAAAATATTGGAAGTAAGGGAATATAAGACGCACACAATATGGCGGAAAGCAGTTCATTAGATTGATAAGCACCTAAAGCAATTTGCTATTTAAATCGCAAGATACAGTTAATGTGGTTTCTTATTTCTGCTAAGGAATCCTCGCTCTTTCACCATTATTTGCACGCGCGCACACACATGCCAGCGTCTGTACTTCCCCTACCAGCATTTCGATCTATTCACTCACTTGACATACTGCCAGTACTGTATGTTTTATTTTAATACTATTGTCACATGATGGAGTGACTATAGACGGGGTCTGGACTGATAACTGGATTTATTGCACACTTACAGAACGTAGCTATGAATAACTGCGGCAGTCTCGCTGGGTTACAGGCTCCAAAGGTAACTGCAACTACAGCGCACATAAAGTCCCATATGCCTCCGTTCTTTTGCTTAGTCCTCAGAACATAACCTAGGAATGCAGGAATTCTCCATGTTGCTGGATGTTTCAGCCTTCTTACTTCACATTTTTCTTCTTATTTCTCTTTATGTGTGTATATATATGTAGACGTATATGCACATGAGAAAGGTTTCAAGCGTGAGATTTCTCATGTGCATTACGAAATGTTCCATTACCATGGCAACGAATTTTCGTCAATTAACACAATAAATGAACGTAAGTTATGTAGTAGACCACGAATGAGCGAGCAGTCTTTTGTTTCAGCGTATCGTGTCTATGAATAGGTATAAAACTTGTCTCTGTTCTTAACTAATTAAGCACTATGCCATGAAGGCGTATGGAGGAGTGGAAGTATAGATCCACATTTTATTGACCCCGGCACTAGTTAGAGGTGAGTGGTCAGCTTCACGTTCCTGCCGCTTTAACCACAGGGAAAGAACCCCCGGTACCCATTGGATAGGGGGATGGGTGGGCTCCAGAGCCGGTCTGGATTACGTGGAGAAGAGAAAATTTTTGCCCCCACCGGGACTCGAACTCCGACCCCTCGGTTGTCCAACCCGTAGCCAGTCGCTATACCGACTACGCTATATAATATTTTATCGTGAATGTGTGAAATACAGTGTATTACATAAAAAGGACGGTTTTAGATTTTTGTAGGTGTTATTCGTGGGAGATGGCATTAAACACTGGCCTTGACATATCACTGAATAGTGTACGTGGAAATGCAAGAGAACACGGGATACACCAGGGGAACTCGGTAGTAAGAAAGCGCATGTAACGAGCGACGGGTCTCTCCGTTGCATTTTCAAAAGGAATTACACCAATTTATTATAGCTAAAATACTTGCAGTTGCTTTACATTAAGTAGGAATAAAACACGAGAAACAATGCACCATCAGCTTTAGACTTCTCGTGGAGGTGTAGCTCCATGTATTCATAATCCTGTCACTGGATGGAAGCGTATATGCAGCGTCGCTCATTACGTATGGGGCAGGGTGGATCCCAGGGCCAGATGTGGGAAGGAGGAGACAAATATCTTTACCGCAGCCAGGAATCGAACCCTGATTCTCCATTCGTGCTACCAGTCACTACACCGGCTCGACATTTCAGCAAGGAGACTGGTAGAAACCACGACAGTCAGGTTCCGAACCCGGACCAGGAGCTCAGGAAGACGAGGAAGGAATGCCAGCCGGCAGCTGTAGCGGTCGGGAGTAAAATAGTAAACCGATGGGTTCAGTGGGAGAAGGGGGAGACACGCGCCCCCCACCAGCTTCGAGCAGAGATCTATAAATCTCCTTAAAGTTATACAAACTTTAGTGACTGCTGCTTTATATTGTCGCGATTTATGTGTGGGTCTGGATTGGTGAATAGATTTATTGACCACTTACAGGTCATAACTACAAATGGCTGTAACACTGTTGCTGATTTCCACATTTCACAAGTCACTACACGCTATGTCTTCTCCAGCCTTCATTGTCTTTACTAGTCGCTGCTTGGTAACAGCTCTCATGTGCTCATGTCGTTACTGTCCGGCGAATATCCCACAACCAAAGCGCCGTCTCTTCTCAGCCTCCCTTGCAGCACTCAACTCTATAGAGAGAGAGAGAGAGAAAGAGAAAGAAGAAAGAAAGAAAGAGCATCGATTTAAGAAGGTTCCCAGGCTTTGCCCGCTCGTCCTTCTGGTAAGAGTAAAGTGAAAGTGTAGGCGTTAAGATGATTAGAAGCAACGACTTGAGAGAGAGGGGGCGCGGAGCTTTTAATTTCAAAAATTTGAGTTTACGTGTATAATTTTGGTAATTTTGACAGCAAGGGATCGTAATTTTGATGAATTTAAATCGGGAGGGCTGCATGACAAGCATGCAGTAGCAACTTGGAATTTGGGAACCATCTCAGCATTTGCTTACAAGATAGAGGAAAACCAAGAAAACCTGTGTCGAGATGGCCGGTCGCAGGACCTTCCGGATACGCACTGACTTCTAGCCAGCGGTCCGGCAAACAACTCTCACCCCACCTGTCTTCCTAACGCCTTTGCAAGGACCGAGTAGAAGACACCGTTTCCAACAGTAACCCTATTGTTGCATGAGTATTTGTTGCCGCAGGAACGTGTTTACTGATCTGTTGCTTGGAAGCTGGTTCCATAACACCATTGTTTATTCGCCCATCTCGCGGTTATTGCATAGCAACGGCTGTACGCGCTACAGTACCGTCAGACAGTATTATCGGAAGGTGAAGAGTCACAGAGACATACAGGTAGATGCACACAGACACGCGTCATTTCAGTGCTAAACAACAACGCTGTTGAAACTTATATCTTCAGTTTAAAATGAATGGTATCTTTACTTATTCGCATTATTTGTCTTTATACGTAAACCTTAACTTGCGTGATGCAAGGCACGACTCTGTTCTTGTCAGTTGCATCAGTTTTAATCCTAAGAAACTCTACGTATGTGATACGTGTCCTGCAGTGATGTAACCTAGCTTACAGCAAGTGCTTCAGATGTGGCGTATTGCTGTCTCTCACACTTCTACGCACAGAGCTACGTTATCTCCCAAACAGTAACCGACAATCTAATTCTCATATATCAGTTCCTGAGCGATATAGCGACTGGCTACGGCCTGGACGACAGAGGGGTCCCGGTAGAGTGAAAATTATTCTCTTCTCCAAGTCGTCCAGGCCGGCTATGGGGTTTACCCAGCCTCCTATCGAATGGATACCGGGGGCTCTTTCTCTGGGGTTAAAGTGGCTGGGGCGTGAAGCTGACCCCACACGTCCAGCTAGTGCCGAGGTCAAGAAAATGTGGATATAAATATACACTCCCCCATACGCTTTCATGGCATAGTGCTTAATTAGTTAAGCACAGGGACAACTTTACTTTTACCGTATATCAATTCAAAAACGGCCTGATAAGTCTGTCGTAGTGGGCCTATACAGGAGATTCTGCAACCTCACTTTGTAAGTTTAACTGAAATGTTGTCTTTGGTGTGAAGGTGAAGTGTATTCTGCCCTGAAGAAGTCTCCGATAACGCACGCGATACTTGACTTATCGAATCCGAGCAGTTAGCAGAGGTTCTCTTGAAAAGGGGGGGGATATGAGATGCAACTGTCAAGAAAGTGTTAAAATAAAGTCAGTTTCCCAATTTGTGACATGTCCGAGAGACAGTGAGCAAAACCATGGAAAACATCGTCCAGGATAAGAAACTCACCAAG